CTATGTTGCAGCCGCAGAGGCTGCAGAAAAGCGGCGGCGGCCACAACCGGCCAGCCTTTGTCGATCTCGACCGACGATCGCCCGGTAGACGTTTTGTTGGGCTGAACCAAAGTTCTACGTTTAGACGGAGCAATGACAACAGACGGCTTGTTTTCGATGGAGGAGGTTTGGCAGATGCAAAAGTTTTTATCGATCCAGGCACGCCAGGGAGGTAATACTTCAGAGCGGAAACACCGAGATATCGATGGGGTCCAGAGGAGCAGAACAACCAGGGATTGTAAAAAATCGCCGGATCGGCATGTTCGGTCTTAATGAAGGGATGGCGATTTTTGCAGGTGGTTGCATTGGTTGCCACATATTCGCAATGCTAGCTTGCTTGGTTGCAGAATTTTCAGTCAGAGTTTTTGCGTCAACAGAAAATTTCGCGCTGTTAGTCGGTGGAGGATATTGTTGGCGAGAGAAACGTGTTTGCGATTATGCGGTCTGGAAGACAAGGAAGTCCCAGAGTATGGGCATTGTTTGGAGAAAAGATGTGGCTCCCCATCGACTCGCTGGAGAGCTGTGAGGTGTCTGTTGGCCAGCTCTTTACTCGTCGGCGTTAGGTCGCTAAGGTAGCTAGGAAATGTAGGCTCGGTCGACTCATTGGATGGATGGAAGCCCAAGAACAGCCAGAGCGGCCAAACATCGCTGCCCATTAGCTAAGTTGTACGTACCCGGACCGCTGGAGCTGGAGTTGCATCGCTGAAATGCGCCAACCAGACACGCATGCACGTGTACACCCAATTTAACCCCCGGTTCGGAGAGCCCCCAACCAACGCAACGACCCCCGGCCATGCCCACCACCCAGCGGCACCTCTCCAGCGCCAAAGATAACGGCTCCAGGCCCAACTATCCAGGAGAGTTGCGATCCAACATCGCAAAAGGCGCCTGATCTGCCTCATAGTGGGAATGAGGAGGCTACCTGGGCCCTTGTCGGCGACGAAACCCTTCACAGCGCGGCCGCCGAGGGTGCCTCGAACTTCTCCAAGCCCTCGAAGCGCACCATGGCCGCACCCGACTCTCGTTAACACTTCGCTCCGCCCTCTGTCGACCTCGACGCCGCTTGCGAACGATGCCCATCACCAGAATCAACCACCGCAACCCTTCCGCTTCGAGACCGGTGTGTCGCTCTTCGCGAAGAGAGCTCCGAGGCCCTTTCCGCCGCCCTTCCTGTCTCCTCCGTCCGGCTCCTTCTCCGACCCCCTCAGCACCCACCACCGAAGCCGTGATCGGCGCGCGAGAGTCGACGGACAGATCATTCTTGGACAGACAAACGGTGACGATGCTGTCTTCGCGAGCGACAACTTCATATGTGCGAACGATGGCGTAGGCGCTTGGTCGACCCGCCCGAGGGGTCACGCAGGGTAGGTTATGGTGCCTCTTTGCCGATACAACAGCTGACCCTAGCTCAGGCTGTGGTCGCGCTTGATTCTTCACTACTGGGCAACCGCCGTACAGCAAGATGCTGCACATCACGGTTCCGAAGGAGGAGCTTTCACCCCTAACCCGGTGGCATATCTCCAGACGGCATACGAGCAGACGCTGAGAGCGACATCGGACCCGAATGACTGGCAAGGAACAACAACTGCGAGCGGGGCGCTACTGCATTATAAGACACTGGATGGCAGCAAGCCAGTCCCCCAGGTGTATGTGACCAACCTGGGTGACTGTCAAGTCATGATTCTGCGGCCGCGGCATGAGAAGGTTGTCTACAAGACAAAGGAGCAGTGGCACTGGTTCGATTGCCCTCGGCAACTTGGGACGAACAGCCCCGATACACCGGAGAATAATGCTGTCATGGATGTGGTGGAGATCCAAGAGGGCGACGTGGTTCTTGCCATGTCCGACGGTGTCATCGACAACCTCTGGGAGCACGAGATCATCGACAGCATTCAGAACAGCATACAACGCTGGGAAAATGGAGAGGCCGGAGCGGACAGAGTGGAGGGCGACCGCACAGGCGGCGCGAACGGAGGCATGAAGCTTGCTGCTGAGGAGTTGGTGGCTGCTGCAAAGAAGATTGCGACCGACCCATTCGCCGAAAGCCCCTTCATGGAGCACGCGATCGAGGAGGGCCTGCCAACCGAAGGAGGTGAGTTACCCCCGAGCATTGTTCCATGCTCCCAGCGCCTAATTGACAACCATAGGCAAACTAGACGACATCAGCGTCGTCGCCGCGCTGGTCAGGAGACACGAAGCATGAGAGCAAGGACGGTACTACGAAACGAGCGCATCTGGGAATAGAGCTGCATGGGGAATGCTTCGCAAGGGCAAATTCTCAATAGTTTGGCATATGCCCTGTCTGGGGGTTGGATGACAGCGGGCTTCTTGGGGAAATTCGGCGTTTTTCGGCTTTCTGAGTTTAGTTGCATCGGATAATTACCATCACCAAATGGAATAAAGTTCACACATGTCAAAAACCAAAGACCCAATCTACGATGTTTGCCGATGTGGACGTCCGTTGCTGTGCTTGGTTCGCGCGCAATACACCGGATGCTGGGAGTCGGTGGGGTAAACCTTAGTCGGCGGGCATGCTTGGGTTCGAGCTGGGTCCTATCTTATCGTTTATCTTATCTTATCCCGGCGCAACTTTTTTTTTCCCCTTTCAGCACCTCGGGCAAAAGAACCAGGACGTCGGTCGGTCTTCAGTCAACTTACCCAATTACGACGAGGCATCAACGACGACAAAATGCGCGGAAAACGGAGCAAGCAGTATCGCAAGCTTATGAACCAGTATGCGCTGACCTGGGGATTCCGTGAACCTTACCAATGTCTCGTTGACGCTGAGATGGTGGTCGACTGCCACAACTTCAAGTACGATCTGCTCGCTGGACTCGAACGGACGCTGCATGGCAAAGTCAAGCCAAGTGAGTGGCCATCTCTACGATCTTGTTCTGTTTTCTATGCTGACAATGACATTGCAGTGATTACGCAATGCGAGATCCGCAAGCTGTACCTTCGCAAGAGCGAGCCCGAGATGAACAAGATTATCGATTTCGCGAAGACCCTCGAGCGCAGACGATGCGGCCACCTTCCGGAAGACTACCCCGAACCGCTCGGTACGATGGAGTGTCTTAAGGCTGTCGTCGACCCCAAGGACAACCTCGTCAACAAGCATCGATACTGTGTCGCCAGCCAGTCGGCGGATGTCCGCCGCATGCTCCGCGAGATTCCCGGCGTCCCTCAGATCTACATCAAGCGCTCAGTCATGATCCTTGAGCCCATGGCGACGGAGAGCCAGGAAATCAGGACCAAAGAGGAGAGGAGCAAGTTCCGCGACGGACTGGTCAGGCCCGAGAAAAAGAGAAAGCGCGAACACGACGACAACGACGCCGAGAGCGAGAACGAAGGCCAGGAAGATGATGTCGCGTCGGCTGACGGGAAGGCGGAGAAGAAGAAGGCCAAGAAGAGGGGACCCAAGGGACCCAACCCGTTGGCTGTCAAAAAGTCGAAGAAGGCCCAGGAGGAGGGCGAGAACAAACCAAAGGGCGACGTCAAGTCCGCGGCAGCAGGAGAAGGAGGTGAGGGAGACGGGCCTTCGAAGAAGAAGCGCAAGAGGAGACACAGGGCCGCTGATGGGGCGGGTGAGTCGGCGCCTCAAGGCGAAGGGTCGGCAGAGCAAGCTGTTGGAAGCCCGTAAAGATCCAAGAAGCATTACAAGGGCGTTTGGGGACACTGCATTGGAATGTTGCAACAATAAAAGTTATTAGATACCAATCAATGGGAGATTCCTACGACAAAGCTTCGTGTACGACTTGTCAGGGGCCACGTGCCTTGCTGAGCCCCCTTATCTTTTCTCGAACTGACACTGACTCCCCGTTGAGTGAGTCGAGCCGTTAGGTGGCATTCTTGACTTCCATCCTGTCGATCAATCTTTGGGAGACGGGATGCTTCGCTCTTCTCTCGTATCATCCTCGTGAGTTGTCACTATGCAACCCTAAGCCAACTGGATAATCCACCAGGAGCAGCTAGTCGGCAGTGTCATCCCGCAAAGTCGAATCCGAAGAGTCAAATCTAAAGGCATTTCCCCGATGCCTCTCAGCAGCCAGGAGTGCCCATGATGACATGCAGCCAATGTCGTCAGTTGGCCAGCATCGCAAAGGCCCCGGGAGGGACGGCAGGACTGGGCAGCGGTCAGAGCTCTGGACCACTGAAACGATCACTGTGTTGGTGTGTTGGCGGTGTGCCTCATCGGGCTGACAGCAGCGAGCACAGTCCCCCGATGACAGAGAATTGCAGGGCGGTGCAGGCGACCCATTGGAGATTGCACCCCCGCCTGCCCCCTCCAAAGCCTCCCGTTTCCCGTCACAAGCATGAGGTCGCGCGCATGGCTTCGTTGGCCGGCCCCACTGGAATGCCACTGTAGCGGATCGTCATGGGGAATTTGATCTCCCTCTCCAGGGTCAGTTTTGCTCGCAGTTGCAGCCCGGGAATCTTTCATTCAACCATCCTCCATCCCTTTCAAGTCCGGCAGGCCCCTCCCCTCGAAGAACCACCCGGCCAGCCAAACAAAAGGAAAAACCACTCACACGTGGATTGTTCCTCAAGTGTCTTTTTTCCCCTGAGGCCAACCACACGTAGAGAGCCGGAAAGTCTTCAGCCAGCACGTCAACTTGCAGCAAACAACCGTGGGCGCCCGCATTGTGCGCGTCGACATATCTGCAGCAGCACCACCACCTCCATCCTAGCACTAGCACCCACCCAAGGTATTAATCGTAATCGCGAACCGCTAAGGAACGAATAGTCAGCTCTACACCAGTGGCTCATTGCGCGTCTCCTGACGGAACCCTGCCCGGTCAAACGCCAAACGCCCCCTCCCCCCAACCTCGACCCATTCGTTTCCCAGCTTCCCGAAACACAAAGGGAAAAAAACACACAATAGCTGCCACCCCTGGATTTGCTATCAGTCTGGCTTCGACACGGCTCGCGTGCTTGCCTAAGGGACGAAATATCCTTTCATCATGGCGGGCTCAGGCGAGTCTGCCACCACTAATAACCCCTCACCGACGATCGCCACCACCACCACCGCTGCTGCCGACATGGAGGAGTCAGCCCAGAAACCAAATGGCTCTCCTGCATCAGATGTACCCGCACAAAAGCCAATTCCCGCTGCGACAACAATGGCCGACAAGCCTGAATTCGATGATTTTGGTCTACCCATCAGACGATATGTACCTCCACCCCCGGAAGACGACGATGAGACGACCGATGCTCAGTCTGAACCGAAACACCCTGATCCCGAACCTTCAAAGATCGAAAAGGAGCTAGACGCCAACGATGCTCACTCTGACACGAAAGTCAATGGCGACAAGAAACCAAACAGCAATGGCGCAGAATCAGACAGTGAGGACGACTTCAGAGACGCGCAATCCGAGCAGCCGGCCACTGCCGCTGCGTCTGGCAACAACTCGAACACTCCGTCGACCCCGGTAACCTCGAACCTGGACAAGGACGAAATCAAAGACAAAATTGCTGCAGATGCAGACAGAGATGTCAAAGAAGGCGTTGCGATAATCAATGGCGACGAGAGCGCGGAAGAGAAGGTGGAGGAAAAGGAGAAAGGCACTACAACTACGCCCAGCGAAACAAAATCATCAAGTCCAACACAGCCGGCCGCTGATGAGGCAACTGCCCCAGCGGCCGTTTCCAATATTGAAATCAAAGACAACAGTGTGCCGACGAACGGCGTTGCCGATGCCAAGAAGGAGGATGCAAAGGAAATGCAGGCGACAAAGGAGACCAAGGCAAAGGACGAGCGGCCTGATTCACCCGTGAAGCTCGTCGACAAGGCAGACCAGCCCCAACCAAAGGCAGCAGGAGGCACCCATACTAGAGATACGAGCACCGCTAGCAACGTTGTCATGTCTGAATTCTCTCATCAGCAGCTGACGGCAGACAAAGAGGAAGAGAAAGACGATGACGATGGCGAATGGCAGGAGATGCCGGCATTTGCACCCTACGATGTTTACGACGAAGACAATAGGCTTGTTGCCAAGGAGTACACGGAAGACGTGGACAACGAGAAATACGGCTACGGCGGGCTCGGAGGAGCTGGCAAGGGATATACTCGAGTAATTATGGACGACGATGCGGAATCGGCAACGAGCATGGACGACAACACGCAGTATCTTTTCAAAGACGTGAAGAGCACGGCAATGACAGAGGACGACGAGGAAGCGCGAGACGCTGTTTCTCAGATGCAGGCGACCAAGGACCTCTTGACCGAAGGGCAGAGGATAGCATATGTTGGACTTACCAGACTGGAAATTCATCACATGGTCAAGGAAGCCGAGAGCATCGAGCATACCAGGGGAACGAAGAAGGAAGTCAACATGTCAGCTGAAGCCACCAAGATGTGGGGACAGAAGATGATGATCCGTCTCTATACCCATATGGACATCAGCTCCCAGGAGCAAATTATGGTCGAGCAGCTAAGCGACCACGGTGTCGTCCCCTCTGACTTGACGCCATTGCTGATGGCCAACGCCAGGGTGAAGAACCCGATGGCGGAAGAGTCACGCTCTTCGCTGTCCATGTCATCACCACGCACAGCGTCCCCGCGGACACCACTACCACCCAGCTCGCCGGCCCTGCCCGAGGATGAGAAGCCTGCTGAGGCGCCTCCGCCATATGAGACCCATGAGGGAGAAGAGCTCCCCGCTGTGAAAACTCCGGCGCAGCTGTCAACATCAGCCAACATCGACATCGATCTTCGCTGGACGGTGTTGTGTGATTTGTTCCTTCTTTTGATTGCGGATTCGGTTTATGACTGTCGTTCCAGAATCCTATTGGAGCGTGTTGGAACAAGCCTGCAGATTGACTGGTTGGATGTTAGGAAGTTCGAGAAGAAAGTGACGGATGCTTTGGAAATGCAGCAGGCAGCCGAGAAGGAAAACTGGAACGAGGACGAGCATATGGAGCACAGGAGAAAGCAGGCTCTCAAGAAACGATACGTCATGATGGGCTTGGCCACAGTCGGAGGCGGCTTGGTCATCGGTCTGTCCGCAGGTCTGCTTGCGCCCGTCATCGGAGCCGGTCTAGCAGCCGGTTTCACGACATTGGGAGTGACGGGAACTGGCACTTTCCTCGGCGGCGTCGGTGGCGCTGCTATCATCACGTCCAGTGCGGCCGCTTCAGGAAGCGTTATTGGAGGCCGCGCAGCGAATCGGAGAACTGGCGCGGTTAAGACTTTTGAGTACCGGCCTTTGCACAACAACAAGCGTGTCAACCTGATTGTCACTGTGGCTGGATGGATGACGGGCAAGGTCGATGACGTTCGCCTGCCCTTCAGCACTGTTGACCCCATCATGGGCGACATCTACTCCGTCTTCTGGGAACCAGAGATGTTGAGAAGTATGGGTGACACCATCAACATTCTTGCCACAGAGGTAAGATTGGTCGCTTTGTATCCGTGAAGATGAACGAATACTCACACAATCCAGGCTCTCACCCAAGGTCTTCAGCAAGTTCTGGCCAGCACTATTCTCACGAGTCTAATGGCTGCCTTGTCTTTGCCAGTCGTCTTGACCAAGCTTTCCTATCTGATTGACAACCCGTGGAGTGTCTCTCAGGACAGGGCTTGGGCCGCCGGCCTGATCCTTGCAGACTCACTGATTGACAGAAACCTGGGAACCCGCCCGATTACGCTTGTCGGGTACTCACTTGGCGCACGTGTGATTTTCTCCTGCCTCTTGGAGTTGGCCAGAAAGGGCGCGTACGGCCTCGTTCAGGATGTCTACCTCTTTGGTTCGCCTCTGATTATCAAGAAGGACGAATGGCTGCGAGCGCGGACGGTCGTACCAGGCAGATTTGTGAATGGATACAGCACCAACGACTGGATCCTTGCGTACTTGTTCAGACTGACCAGCGGCGGCCCTAGAAAGGTTGCCGGCTTGGCCAAGATTGAGGAAGTTCCGTTTATCGAGAACTTTGACGTCACGGAAATCGTCAAGGGCCACATGGAGTACCGACAGGCTATGCCTCGTCTCCTTCGAGAGTGTGGTTGGCTGGTGGAGAGCGACGAGTTTACCGAAATCGAGGATCCGGACCCGGAGAACCACCAGGAACGCCAACGTGAGCTTATTAATGAGATCGAAGAAGCGCGCAAGGAACTTGAAAAGGAGGGCCAAAAGAAGAAGAGCAGATTCTCGCTATTTGGACGAGGAAAGAAGGCCGACAAGGAAAAGTGGGAGATTTATGAGGACATGGCGAAGGAGGGTAAGCAAACACCCTCGAGAACAGAAGACAAGGAGGGCAATAATCATGGTGTGCTCTTTGACATCGACGCAATCCGAGCCGAGGTGGCCAAGGAGAAGAATAAGCCGGCCGAAAATCCAGAAGAGTTTCAAGTGAAGGAGCTCAAATCGACTCTACCACCGATGAAGCTGGACCTTAACTCTTCAAATTCGTCCCTGAACCCACGAGACAGCTTGCGGGAGACGAAGAGCGCATATGCCGTGCCAGGCCGAGCGTCGTACGAAACTTCCGGCTCCTATGGCTATACGCCAGAGCGGACGCCGACCTTCCACTCGAGTCAAACCTTCCCAGCAACGCAGCGCGCCCCGTCCCCATATCACGCGGCTCTCTCGCCACAAGAGGATATTCAGATGACATTTGACGACTCGTTCCATGATCCTCCGCCAGCGCCACGACCTCCACCGAAAGATGACCCTCCGCCAACTCGGCCAGAGATGAAGACTACGCAGTCGGTGCCGACCATCGCCAGCAACCCGTGGGCTGACATTGATGATGATGATTTTGGCAAGGAGAAGGACATTTCCATGACTTTTGCATAGCGAGGAGACGAGCGCAAGTTGGCTTTTAAAGTGCCACGGCGTGTTACCTCGACAAGGCGTATGGCTTTGGTAGACCGACAACAACACAAACGATAATGCAGCCAGCTGACCTACGGGGGTTGTTGCTATTGTACGACTGGAGTGTGTTTTTTTTTTGGGTCAAGCGTTGGGTTAAACTACAAACTGTAGAACATTCGCGTACATAATTCGCCTGCAATGAAGCAGAGTAATCGCACAAGATGGGAGATGATTCCCGCTGAACCAATTGTGAGAGTCGCCAACTTAGCCTCCTTATGTATCTGTGATGATGAAGCGAATGTGCACGTAAGGTCGGTCACCAAGGGATGTCACGCATGCTGTGCCAGGTTGTGAAGACTTGGCCTGAAAGACTGAGACGATACAAGTACATCATTGTCTGAGAAAGAACAAACACTGGTCTGTTGTTGAGTTGTCCTTTGTCAGTGCCCTCCCATTAACTAGATTCTCATCGAAGAAGAGAAGTTTATCACTTTGATTTGCGGTCTGCAGGGGACCGGAGACAGCAGAAATCCATGATTGGTCAGTTTGGGAACTCCGAGTTTTGGAACTTGTTGCTCCTTCAAAAGAGCGGAGTTTGAGGCCCTATTCCGGCAGGAGAGGTCCGCTAACCTGCAGCATGAAGTGGGCACTGCAAACCGACATTAGATGCGCGCCGAAGGAAGGGGAGGACCAGTTGGCGATAGCGAGAATGAGATGAGCGAGTCGCCCGGATATGTGGGGGGTTCTCTCTGTTGGTGTCGACGTTGGAAGGTTTTTGGGTGTTGGGGGTTACCGCTGCGGCCCCGGTTGATGACATGGTCGGGTCGCATTGGATCAGGCAGACCTCGACGCCGGCCGGGGGTGGTGGGGTCGTTGATCGGCAGGCAGCAGAGAAGGAACGGACGGACGGCACTGCCAGTAGATTACATACTTCAGGAGGACAGCAATGAAGAGTCGGTTCATTCCAAGTCTAGATGACCTTTTTTTTTTTTTTGGCGCCTGGACTGATGTCAGAAATCAAAGTTCATCTGTACGAGTGGTTTCCGGCAGTTTGTTCATACATCATCTCAACTTCAATCTAAAAGCAGGGACGAACATATCGGCCCCGAGGGCTTGAAGCTTGACTGCTCAGAGAAGCTTGCCAAACCACTTCCCATTCCCTCGCATTTAGCTTATTTCCAGCCTACGTACCCCCTTGCCAATTGGTTTTCGCTGGAAGCTTCGTGCGCTGGAGCATGATCGGCTGCCAATCCTTCTTCTCAAACCCCAGCCGAACCAGTCAGAGAGCCGGAAAATTGGCGACTTGGGTTTCGGGTTCGGGCGGAGCAGAACAAATCAGCAGCAAACATTGCCCAGGAGCAGATTAGCAGCAAACAGCGCCTCCAGGCTAACCACAGGTAACAACAACAAGGGAGAGAGAAAAAGGTTGTGAGGTGGGCGATGCCCCCGTGCTAATGCAAGCCTCCAACATCAGCCGCAGCGGCACTAGCGCTGCTACGCTAGGCCGTTGACGGTTGTGTCAGGGGTTATGTCACGCTCTCTTCTCATTCTTCTTACTCTCTCGCTCCAAGTGATGCTTTCTTGGTTGCTGTCGATTGGCCATTGCCGGCTTCTGCTGCTACTTTTGCTTTTGCTGCTACACCGAAAGTGCTTGTCGCTGCAGGGGAGAGGCGAAGGGAGGGACGGTCGACGAGTTGGCTTTGTCGAGAGATTCATTAATAGCAGCACCTGAGCCACATTCCATTGGCCAGCTCGTTGCTGACGGTGGGGCTGGGGATTGGGGACCATGACCGCGCTAAGAGCTTGGTGGTGGTTAGCGGGTCCCGCTTTTCTCCAGCCTTACACGCTTGCTCTTCCACTCTTTTATGGACTTTGGAACTCATTGGACGCGATGCTTGTTGCTCCATTCCTTCCGGTGTACATCTCGAGTCCGACAGTGTCCGTTCCCTTCTGCTGCTGGGGGTTTAAGCGTGATGGGCTTGTTGTCCCGTCAAATCGTTTGTACGAAAACCGCCTTTCGTGGAGAAGCAGATTCCGACCTGTCGCTGACGCAGTGTAACGGAGCCATCTGCCGATCCCGGGATCACAAGCTCTGCGTCTCTGATTCAGAGACCTGTCAGGTAAGCCAAGGGAGGAAGTGAGGGGGTCAGATGCGCGGGAATGGTGAAAGGGGAGCTTAACGAGGGGCCGGGGATTCGTAACCCTGGGAGAGGATGGATGACACGGTGGGAAACTTCAACAAAAGAGCAGGCACCATTTTTGTTTGCTATCTTTCTGAAGAGCTAACTAGGCACTCTTTGATCAGAGTTTCCACCGACATTGATTCCTCGGGTTTGCACCAAGGTATCTATCAATAGCCCTCCCGTCCACGTCCGAGTGCGAAAGCTGCTTGTCTATCTCACCGTCACCATAATCATCATTCCTAGAGTCCGAGTCCTGCCTTCTTTGTGAATCTGAACAACCATCTCGAGAAACGACAGAAACGTCAGCTCGCCGGGCATACTTGGCAAAGCTGCTTGAAGACTAGGTCCCGAGGGAATCGACAGCGCCTCACTTGATCAAGGACGCACGCAAGAAAGGTGCGGTTTCCGGGAGCCAATCGCCCGCGGGGAAAAGCCGTTGGAGCAGGGCCCTAGGCAAGAAATTACCAGAGAGACAGACCCGCGGATCCTTCGACATTTCTTTGCGCGGCGCAGCCTTGGCGCGTGGCTTGCTGCAGCTGGCGTGGTAGATCCCAGTCGGAAGAGAAAGAGACCCTGGTCACCAAACACAAACACCCAACGGGGCGTCTCCAGCTGGACGTCTCGCAGAGCGCCGCGCCGTCAGCAGCACCACACAGAGAAACCTGAACCCATTTTCCGACCTAACCAACAAAAGCGAAGCCGCCCCGTGAGACCGACTGCTCCTTGAGCTCGAAGGTCCCAACGTGCCTTACCCTGGTCGGCTTTTTCTTAGTGCCTGTCGTTCCCCCTCCATCCCCTGTCTGCCCAATTCCATCCTGCTCACTGCCGTCTTACACCAACCGGGGTTTGCTATTCTGCTTTCCTACCTAATCACATCCTCCACCCCCCGTAGCCTGCTTCCTTCCTCCCAAATTTCTTCCCTCTCGATTATTTTGCTTCTACTCTCACTGTTCGAAGGCTTTTTGGTACGACAACCCGAATTTGGATTTCGACAGACGGTTTTGGGTAGTGGACTGGCATACGGGTGTGGAACCACCGACTTACATGAGCATCACCGATATCGAATGTTAACCGAAAACTCGACTCGAGAGACGACTACGTAAAAAACCCGTCATTCGGAATTTCTGGGCTGGGAGTCTGCGAGGAATACAATCATGTCCCTCCCGTCGGGCTTATTCGATAATGAAGACGAAGACAGCAACACCCTGTCTCTAGGGGAGAAGGGGAATACACCGTTCTACGAAACGACAACGAGGCCTGAACGGGACGAGGGCACCGGTGTCAAGAGCCCAACCATCGCGGTTGATGCAGGTACACTGGGATCGGTCGACAGGGTGATCATGGCTTGGGACAACCCCCACGACGTGAAGTGGAATATTGACAGCAACTACGTCACGGTCGTCAACGCAACATGGCAGGGCCGCCAGGGTGACGATAAAGGTCCTGTCGGAACGATCAAATTTGTCCAAAACCCAAATGTATCGTCCGGTATGCCACGCGTAGGCTTGTTTGCCTCATCGCGTGACGTCCACACCAAGCGCGAATCCCCAGAATGTAAGCAACATTCAAATGTCGAGATTGTATGTTGTTTTGACTGATCTGAGCTGTGCTAACCCTGGCGCGTTGTAGTCGAGTTTTTGACAGCCGGAGGAGGACTTACACTGCCGGTGAATGACACGGCAGTCTCTGCCTACCTGAAGAAAGAGATGTATCTCGTTCTCGGGTGGTCCAAAAGCGATGGCACCGGCACTGGATATACCCAGAGCGGTGTTTTCACAGTGTACAATGGCTCAAAGATTGATCAGGGGTATGCGGAGACTAAGGAAAACATCTTGTCCAAGATTACCAGCGACGCAGAATCTGCCGGCCAGGATATTGACAGCGGTTCTGAATGGGCTCCGAGAACAACCACCGGAGTGAGCTCTTCGATCACGTCGACTTCCACCGCAACATCCGCTCCCTCATCGACGACTCCTCCAAGCGCAGGCTCATCAAACTCAAGCTCCAGTTCCGGAGGCGGTGGTGGTCTCTCCGCCGGTGCCATAGCCGGCATCGTAATCGGCTCAATTCTCGGCGTCGCTCTGATTGCGTTCCTGCTCTGGTTCCTCCTCCGCCGCCGCCGCCGCGCAAACAATGTTCACAATGGAGGATACGACTCCGGCCCCCACGAGTTCCTCGCCGACAAGGAGAATCACGCCCGCGTCACCGAATCCCCTCATTCCCCGTACTCAGACGACGGTCATCAGCAACAAGAAATGCAGCAATCGCAGCGCCACCTCACCGAGCCCGAGCATGACGCGGCAGTACCAGCAGCCGCCGCAGCAGCAGTTCCCCCTGCCTCCGGCACAAGCCCGGCAGAACGCCGTTCGTTTGCGCCGCCGTACAGCGAGGAGGAGCACCCGCCAATCGCCTCATGCTCACTCGAAAACTTCAACCGCGACGGAGCTAGATCGTCCACTCCCAACGTCAACTCCAACGTCTCACATCTCATCGAAGACGGCATGACAGAAGATGAGATCAGGCGGTTGGAAGAGGAAGAGCGAGCGCTGGACGCGGCGATTGAGCAAGCTGGCCAGGGCGGCGGTCAGGGTCAGCGCCGGTAGTCGTAGTAGGGCCCTCCTCAATCTAGATCGCAGACACCCAAAAGTGCGGTTTTTCTTGTTGCATAGTATTTGACACGAATATCTTGTAGTGTGGCTATTTACCTGTTGATCTTTTCCTTCTTGATGGGCGTTTTTGCGATTCAGCCACTGTTAATTTACATTACACCATTCGTTTTCGTCTAAGGGCATGCGGGCTAAACATTTGCCCAAGAGGGTGCCGATACCCAGGCCGCGGTCGGAAGTTGACCTGTCGTCGTCGTGGTCGCGTATGAGAGGATGATCTGAGGTGTGTGGAGTGGGGGAGAAGTAGATAAAAAGGATTCCCACCGCAGATTAAAGATGCTTGAAGTGTTTGCCTGGCCGTTTACCGTTGTGTGATTGCAGTATTGTTTGTAGATGAGCCTGCAATTGAGTTTTTCACCACGTGGCTTCACTTTGTTCACTGAGACAGACCCCTAATGTCCCCAGCACAAGAATATCTGCCACTTGCCAAGAAAATAAGTCGTTCAAAAACCCGGGTCATGCTTACATGTCTAGTGTACAGTTGGGTATAGCATATCGAAAGTTGTCTGCTCCCACCAGCCTCACGCCGAAGGCGACTGAGCCCTTCTCTCCCTTTTGCGGCCTTCAATGACCAGCAACGTCCTTCCGTTGATTGGATCCTTCTTGGCGTGGGTGGTACGCTCTCTCCTGGCGTGCTCCAAAGCCCAACGCAGTCGTCTCAAGGGCACGTCCACTTAACTTCGGCTGAACAGCCGGCCCACCATATTGGATGCAATGCTCCCTGCCAGACCACCAGAGTACAGGGCGCTTCCAGCAATGTTAGAAGCGTGGCTGAACTTGTCGCAACGAGAGAAGGCCATGGCGTTCATGATGGTCAGGACGAGAGCGATGACTGTAATGCAGAGAAGTAAGCAAATCAGGGTCTGCGAAGCCTCTCCTCGGACTCAAAATCTGGGAGAGGAGCAGAGGTCAAGGGGTCTGCAGGTAGAACTTACCAACCAGCGGCAGCCACAAGAACTGCAGTCTGACCAGCGCAAATATGGCGAGAAGAACCCAGAGTAGCGGCTGGACGTAGAGAGCGAGCCAGAAGAAGCGGCTGTCGGTGGGGTTGACGGTCTTCGTTCCTGGCTCGCTGCTCTCGAACACCCATTGCGAGTCGCCCGTCTGGGGATCCACCTCGTTCCACCAGCGCAGTCCTACGAGTCTACGACCAGCAATGTTCTTGAGATAATAGAAGTCGGCGGCGAGGAGGAGGATAGTGATGATGAAGATCATGATCCTATGGTGAGACTGTCAGCAATTGTTCAAAGTGCCGTATGCGACGTCAGGCAGGATCGATGCGTGAGAAAGTAAACGGGTCGATTCTCCAACAGCATAACCATTCGGTCATGACCGGATACAGGTTCGGACATTCGCTTCGTGTGTTCGTTACAGGGAGAGAGAGGCCATGCGACAACGTACATGCTCTTGATGATCCATAGTCCGAGGAAGTACACGAGGACGCTTGCTGTTACGAGCCATTGTCAGCTGGCCGATCTTCCCTAACAGAAGAACACGTTGAATCTGGACGAGACGTACATATGCGAAATGCAAGAAAGGTCAATAGGGTGATGGGGTGCGAGCTCAACCGCCAGCTGAGGGAGCCGGGGGCCTCTTGTTGCGGCTGCTGCTGGTTCGACTCCATCGCGGGCGACTTTGTTTCGCGAGTACGAACTCCGATGACACGTTAGGCTGGTGGACTGAATTGAATGCGATCAAACTCTCGGTTTCGTTATCGTCGTGCGCATGTCGTGGCTTCGTGAGATTTTGTTGTTCTTGGTTCGGACGTAAGGGATCGGGAAGAGAGGGATGCCTGCTCCTCTGGAAACTAACACGGTACACACAGCTGTCGCGGGCGCATGCGTGGACAGCTACACCACTGCGTGTCCACCCCCAAAACCACGTTGAAGCTACGGTAAGCTGTTCGGTGCGTGGAGGCTGAGTTGTTCCGCAAGGGGTGACGTTGAGCTGCACGGGCCAATGAATTGGCATCAGCTGCAAGGGTCTAAGGGCGGTCGACTGCGGCAGAAACCGTGCCGACTGGGTTACATCATCAGACAGACAGAAGCTCAACTCGCGACCAAATAGCCGACTTGGCTGGACCACTCGGCGTTCGAGTTACCGAGAGCTGTCTTTAAAGCAACCACGAAGTGCCGGCTCAGAGGGGTAGCAAATGGTTACATAGGTATCTTCACTGTGTGTTGAAGATTCTCATCGCCAGCTACACTTTACTTAATTTGAGAAGTCAGCCTTTGTTTTGAATTTACTATCAAGTTCCAAGCTCTTGTCCACTTAAGTCCAATACTACATCCACGGTATCCATCATGGCTGCCAGGTCCTCTTCAATCATCCGGCGAGCGCTTCTCTACGGTTAATATACTCGCAACACTCACATCATCTGATAAACTGATGTTTTTCCAGTGCCTTCCTCGTCGGAAAAGATGCTTACCAAGTCGTTGGGTCTCAAATCGGACAACGTAACATATGACCTGGAGGACTCCGTGACTCCCTCATTGAAAGCTCAGGCCAGGGGCCAACTCCGATCGTTTCTCTCCAACCAGACAAGTCGACCGCCCTCCATATCCGAATTGGCCGTTCGAATCAATGCTGTGGAGACCAAGTTTGCACTGGACGACCTTACTACTCTCGGATCTCTTCCCAATGTCGATGCCATCGTCGTCCCCAAGGTCAACTCCGCCGCCGACCTAACGTATGTAACCGATGTGCTGCGTCATGTCGCCCCCGAGAGACACACTGCAAGCTCGGAAAACCCTGTCAAAATTATCGCATTGATCGAATCTGCGCGCTCTGTCATGAACCTCGCCGAAATCTGCAAGGCATCTCCGTACCTCAGCGGATTGGTATTTGCCGCCGAAGACTTTGCTCTGGACCTTTCGCTTACCAGAACACCATCGCTTACCGAGTTTCTTTACGCAAGATCTGCTATCGTAACTGCTGCCAAGGCCGCTGATCTACCCAGTGCCATTGATCTCGTCTGTACTTCATACAAGGGAGACGAAGGTCTGAAGAGGCTAGAAGAAGAGTCTCTGGGTGGAAAGTCAATGGGATTCAACGGAAAGCAATGTATACACCCTAATCAGGTTGAGCTGGTGCAAAAGATGTTTGCTCCCAGCGAAAAGGAGGTAGAATGGGCAGTTCGTATTGCCATCGCCGACGAGAAAGCCAATACCGCAGGTCGCGGGGCTTGGACTCTAGACGGTATGATGATCGATGCGCCGGTGGCGGGGAAGGCAAAGGCTATCATTGCAAAAGCAGAAAAGTGCGACCTTGATGTGGCTCGTCTGCGATCCAAATGGACGGATCAACAGCCTGAGTAGGCCGAGCTAGCTCGAGGTCTAGAATAAGTTTGGCGGCCACAGCTCGCGCCCTTCTGCTAGCTCATCGTCTTGGCCCGCTTCGTTTAGCTGTGTTCTGCTTGAGAGAAAGTCAATTTCGAAGCTTCTGTTGTAGCCGGCCACTGGCAATCGTTGTGTTCTCTTGTGGTTGTTGTTTGCAGAGTCTGTAATGTGCCAGCTCGAGTGTTCCGGCTGCCGTTCGGAGACCGCAAATTCGTCGGGAAGAGGGCTTTCGGTGTAAGGTGTCTTCGAGTACCTTGTATCAAGACGTCTACCATTCAATGCAGTTCCGTGGGACGAATTCGTCACGCCTTCTTCAGACCGGTTTCCGAATGCATCCTGCTCGGCGCGTGCAATGAAATCAGCCAAGCTCTCATGAGGCTGAGATAGTGGCGTATCGATACGTCGTGAGTGGTCCTTGTAGCCCATTATTTGGTCATGGCGATGGCCTCGAAAACGCGGTTCTTGCAGTAGAGGCAGTGGTGGACGGAAAGCATCCTCTTCACCGCTACCAAATTGAATACGCGGCTGAGCACCCATGAACTCAGTATATTCGTCGTACAAGGCGGTTGAAGGGCCTGGGATAAGGTCCCGATTCAATACTTCGTCGCATAGAGTGCTCGATCTCCATGCCGTCTTGGATAGACTTGGCGCACCACTTATGACAGAGAGCGGCGTAGAGTGTTGAGCCTGTTGAGATCTAAGTGCCGTTTCTCTTGACTCTAAGTTCCGTGCAGGTCCATCGATGGTCGAAGATGGTTTGCACAGAGCCTCGCCTGCTCTTTCGGGGGCTGGAGCAACGGCCTCCATGCCGTTGCTATTCCAGCAAATGTCGTCGTCCGGAACAGAAACATGTAACCGGGGCTGCTTTGCAGCCGATGATGTCTGAGTAGACACTATTGTTGGCACGATGTTGACCGGCATTCGTTCCGAAGCATGATCAGCTGTCAGACCCTGTTCGTTTCGTTGATCTGGGGGGAGCCTATTTGGTACTCCCTGTCCGTTCTGGTCAGCATTGTCGGCTGCCGCGATTGGTGCAGGCAATTCTTGAGTATTGACGCTGCCTTTCACTGAACCGACTCCACCATCAAAAGCGTTGTTATGGCCTTTAGAGGGCAACTCTGCAGGCTTGACCTCGAGCTGGTCGTTGGGCACGGGTGGAAGATCGGCCGCTGTCATAACGCCCTTGTCTTGGTATCGAATGATACCCCGTGATTGCACAGGGCTCGCTTGGTGTGAATCGCGCCCCGGACGGGCAGACACACCTGTGCCCACGCAGTGTTGCTTTTGGCTTTTCGATTTCTCGGCTGGCACCGCATTCGTCTCTCTCCCGATCATCGATTTTCCAGTGCCATTGAATACTCCTGTCTCCTGCAGGCCGTTCCTGATAGTTTCTGGAGTGCTACTGGCGTCCCTGCCATTACGAGCTTGGGACATCGATGGCTGTGTTTGCTCGCTCGTAGACCATGACACATAGCTGGTCGCCATGCTACTGGCTCGTGGTATCAAGGCTGACAAGAATCCACTACTTTGCGGCCGCAGTCGGGCTTCGCCTGCTCGGAGTGCTAGACCTCTTTCAAACGATTCCGTAGATGTTCGATCCGCCGTACGTCGCCTGTCCAAATGATCACTCTTTGGGTGCATGCCGAATCCTCTGCGTGCAGGGCTGACAGGGGCTTCGATAGTTACGGCTGGCAGGACTTCATTCGGTGGTGTTTCTTTGTGTCCAAAATACGCCACCATCTCGTCTACCTCCCGCCCTCGGCGTTGCTTTTCCTTAGCCCGGGATTTGTTGTGCTGTGCTCGTGAGGATATAAGAGATATCGGATTTTCGACGGCAGTCATCGAGTTGTACGCCAGCTCTCCCACTACGACTGGTCACGATGGGTCAAAAAAGCTATGTCCAGGAACGCACCTGGATTGGGGGTAGATATACGGCCGTTCTGAAAAAGACCATGCGATACATCAGGTTGTAGCTAGACACCCGGTTAGCAAAGCTCGTCCATTATAAGGTGATAATTCGTACCGTCAGCCTTTCCTGGAGTATCGCTTCAGAACGGAAATTGTCCATGACGTCTTTGCCCGATGACAGAACCTTCTTTTTCGGGGGGACTTCCGACTGCTCACATCTTTCCTTGCGTGACTTTTGCTGCCGCTGCCGCGAATTTGTGTTCGATTCGTACCGGTCACCCCTAGTTTTATGCCTCGCTCGCTTCTTGAAATCGGGCAAAGGACTGCCAAAGGACGACAGATATGCCTTGTTGGGAACCTGATCAACGTGTTGGTGCTGATATTGTTCTTGAGATGGCAAACTTGTCTCATGTTGTCTACCACGCAGCGGGGACGCTCGGGTATGATTTCTTGATGCATCCGCGATGAACGAGCTGTCTCGAGACCGAGACCGTTTGTGACCTTGCCTCAAGTTGTCGAGATCAATGTTGTGTGGTCGCCAACCTGGAGAATGTGCCACTATTGGCTTCTGTTGTTGATTTTGCGTATCGACGGCTCTGGGTGAAATTACGCCTCTGCGACTGATGTTGGAAAGCCAATTCTCGATCATGCCAGAGCCCTGGTTTGCGTCATTGCCTGTGTCGTTTTTCGAGTCCCAACCGTCCCCGTTCCAACTGGAGTTGGAGTACAAAGAGCGCCTGTGTCGTACTTGACTACGTTGATGCGTCTGTTCGGTATGGTCGTGTGCCCGAGGTTCAAATCGGTCGTGGCGAAGGTGTTCCTCGTCTCCGCGATGCCTACGATGGCTGCGGTGGTTTCTCTCGGAATGGTGTTTCATGGTATCGAACATGCATGCATGCACCAAGATAGCTGGAGCGACAAAAGTAGATGAAGAAAACGGGAAACAGACTAGATTGAGTAGCTGGCGAATCAGCCAGCCAGCCGAGCACAGTCGCTCGCCGAAATGTACAGCTGAGGAATCCCATCGCCTTTGATCATTCCCCATCGCGAGTAGGTGCTACGCAGCCAGCGAGACGCGTGACTGTGTTTTGGCATCGGCAAGATGCTGAACAGAAATCGTACCTTCTGCAATTTTTATCTTCTTGTGCTCAAGCTCTGGCCCGTCTCGCTATCGACGCAGCTGCGAACGTACACAAAGCATTTGCATCGCGACCTTTCAGTGCGGGTGCTATTACCTTCCTTGAATAGCAACACAGAAATGATTGGCAGGTGGACACTGCGCAGGGGAGTTGCTGAGATACACGGACGGCACCAGAGAGTGAGTGAGTGAGTGAGGACCCCTAACACTGATGTGCCGCTGGCGCCAAAACTTTTGAGAGAGAGCGGGCACGAATAATGCATAGTAAGTAGTTTCCGCCAGTTCCCACCGCCGACGGGGTCCAGACATTTGAACATGGCGCTAAAACTGCTGTGCAGCGCTAAGATTCTTCTGAGCAAGAGCCTCCAACTCGGAAGGCAAGTCTAAACGAGCTCGATAGCAATCATTTTTAATACTAGCGAAGTTCTCAAGACTGTTGGTCAATCTACTCTTACCATTGTCCCTTACGACCAAAGCAAAGCGTTGCGCTCCAGAAGCCTGTCTCGATTGCGTCAATTCTTTGCACGACATAATGCTCATTCCTGGCTCCGCAAATTCGTCGCTCCCTCCAGGAACATAGGGCGCCTCCAGGCTGCCGAGCGTTTCGTCGACGCAACCTCGAAGACGCGGCTTCTGAGGACGTATCGCCGAAATTGCCGCGCAGAACCACAAGACTCACAGCGGTCCTAGCCGATATGACGCGTTACCTAAGGCCCTGATTCGAGAGGGCATCCATCGGGAGGTTCACTTGATATGTCGTCGAACACACCCAAGTTGCGGCTGTCTCAGAATGCCAAGACAAGCCCCGGTAGGGACGGAACACGTCTTGCGTCGAATACCCGGCCGATTTCTATTGATAGCATCGACTTGGCTTCGATATAGTGAACACCGGATTTGTCCCGCCGTGACAGATGCTTGACAGCTGACCTCGCACCCGAATGCGGGTTGCTTGCCGTTGGCCGCGAACTGTTTCAAAGCCGTGCGCGACAGCTAGTCGACATTGGCTGGCAAATCTGGCCATCTGTCTCTGTCACCAACTTCACTTCATGATGGCAGCTTGGTTGACAAGAACTACATGGCAATCGCATGACTTGGGGAGAATGCGGGCGCGAGTACTTGTTCTGATATCATCTTATGAAGAACGTCTGCCAAGTACGCGTACGAGAATTTCAGTTGCAACATCTGGGCCTGCGGTATGGCTCAGCTCAGCTCAGCTCCGGTCGTGATCTCGAGATTCCAAACATTCGGTTCAAGCGACGGCTAAGGGCCATTGGCACTCGAGATCAGCCCAGCGTACCTTTTGCAGGGTCGCATCGTCCGTGACGACGCACGTGGCTGCAGGAGCTACCCCAGGCAGACCATTTGCACGGGCAGTGATATCGAAGCACATTAGGACATGTGTCGCCAAACCCAACGACGTTGCCCAAGCTCTTTGCTTTTGCAGACAAAACCTTGGCTGTGGATAAGGCAGCGGGCCCGTGAAGAAGGCGCAGCAGGTTTCACCTTCGTCCGGTCACGACTAATTAATTATAGATGGTCCCTGGCAGTTTCGAATGCCACTGGGATCTTGAAGGCAACGACTCCGTGCTCCTGCCTACCGCCAGCCCTGCAGCGAACAGGCGCAAGAGCTGCATCCATCCATCCATGCATTTGATGACCACCGAGGCGAGAGAGCCAAGAAATGGCGAGAGGTGAAATGACCAAGCGGTGTGATGTGAAGACGAAGCCGGGAACATGGAGCCATTTCCAAACCTTGGTATTTCCCGGCTGGATCGCGGCCAAGTGCATTAGGGTTCCTGCTGGTGGCATTCCAGAGACCCAAACCGCCCCTCCACATCCAGGCTGCCCTCCCCCTCCGTATCCATGGCTCGATTGGAATTCCATAGGCTGTTGGTCCATGCCACAATATGACGGCGGCTATACACCACTCATGCCTAGGGTACGGAGTTTAAAGGTTCCACTACCTTAGTCCCTGGGCCTGACGATGGCTGCCCCAGCTGTCCACAACAATGTGTTGCGTCACATTTCACAGTTTACTTCGATTTCGACGATTCGACGCGCTCGTCGTTTCTGGCCGAGGCGAGGCCATGGCCGGTGACCAGAGCGCAACGAAAGCGAGCAGAAACTGTCAGTAGTCGAGGTATTTTGGGACTCGCCCCCTGTGCCAACTGCGACTGCGTCTCGTGGGATTGGCTGGACGATGTCAGGTTGCACAAGGCCGCGGGCAATCGTCGGGGGAAAGACACGACCAACATACCGATTTTCTCGCCATGAGGGGTCGTGTGTGGTTTGTGCGCCGTGCACTTGGGGGAGGGGCCAAAACCGAATTTACGATACGACAGAGGGGTTGGGTTGTGGCCTTTCTCGACTCCACTGGATCGACCAATATCCACTGCCAGACGACAAGGACACCACGTCCACACCCACATCTCTTCCACTCGACTTCACCCACATCGCAGGACCTCACCCGGCTCCTGGACCTCTTGCTGGTCAGTGCCAAGATGGGAGTGGAGCTTCCTGCCGACGGCATTGAGCGTTTTGCGCGCCAAAGAAGACTGCTTACCGACCTCCTCGATAATGCTTCTGCTTGGCTCTGGAGCTCTTCCTCCCAACTCGGAGTGCCTCGCGCGTCGCCTCGCATGAGAAATCAATGCCGGCAAAGTGGTCTCATCCCAAGATTCTTCTTTCATGGTCGCATCTTTTGCGCGCATGAGGGAGACAGCCCAGGGTTGCGGATAGCTAAGCCGAGGTCGCCCAAAGACGTGTCACAGCCCAAACAGACTGATCCTAGGAAGCGAATTGGACGAAGAAGTCTAGAGACGGACTGTATACCGGGACTGCGGCCACAAGGCGAATGAGCAGCATGGAGCTGACCTTGCCGTATGACGCCTGCGTGGGATGAAGCCCGCGGTGACCATGGCATCTCGACAAAACGAATGGACGGCTGCGCTAGAATGAATACAACCGAACGGGGGCGAGGCAAGGGTGCCTGCCTCCAATGTCGCCATTTGCCGCTGGCCAGAGGGCCTAAAGTGCCTTCGCGCAATCAACTACATGTCATGTCAAGCAGGCACAGACAGGCACAGCTCGCACGCATCGCGACTCTGGGAGGCAAGCCGAGTCGAGAACCGGTTCTGCAGGCTCTGCACCTACACTACACTACGTTAGCATACTCCACTTTCAGGAGAAGGTGGGCGTTGGAGAATCATGTCGCAGCTCCAAGATGTTCATCTTGCTTCAAACAGGGCATGGTGGAAGGAGGCTGTGCAAAGTGTGGGGTCGAATGGGAATGTCACTCATGATCCAGTCCGTCCGCGGATGACCAGGCCAAGCCTGCTGTCCCGCGCAGTGTTTCCTGAAGCCACAGCGGATTACACTGATTCCAATCTGTTTCTGGTGTAGGGATCCCACCCTTCTGTCTTATCTTCTTCCTGTCTTTCCCGCCTTCTCTCACTCTCTATCTCTCCCCCTCACTACCACGGCTCTCGTCTACTCCCACCAGAAGCTCATATTATCACCTCTGCTACTGGCAATGATCAGGGCCATGGGCTTGGCTCCCCTCAGGAGCCTGGCCGGCGGTAGTGCTTTGCGTTTGCAAGTGAAGTCTCGACCTGATTGCAACTACACTTAGGTAGGTACTGGCAGAATTGAGTCTGCATACCAATGTATTTCACCGCGCAATTTTTTTCATTTTCTCTTTAACAGCCGCCCGTTGAGCCGTTTCGCCTGCCACCAACCCTGCAACGGCCAGGTTCATGGTTTACAAGAAGCTTTCCGTGGTCCTGGTCTCTGCATTTTATCCCACCACACTTGCATGCCTCCGGTTAGTCAGTCTGACTGCGAGTGTGAGCACACTGCGCACCAGGATCCGTACGGATTGACGAGCTCTCACTAGGCTGCTGGGTCAGATATTATGTACGCGAGAGCATACAAGCGAGCTGTGTCTTGCTTCTGCGGCTGAGGTTGATGATGTTGATGACGACTTTGGACCGGACTGGATTGTGTGGTAGCGAGAGAACGCTTCGGAGAGATAATTGCCTGAAGGCAATATGCGTAAGTGCGTGCGTCGCGTCGTGCGTTGTCTTGACTTGAAGTGCCACTAAGTACACGACATTGTCGACGACGACGGCCGCGACATCAGCGGCACGCAGCACGCAGCAATGATACCCCGCGGCCGCGGCCTGAACGAGTAGATCGCATCAATATCGAAGTCGCCAGCAACTCTGATCGGGCATTGATACAGCAAACGGAGGAGTGAATCGACTCGACGACATTGGTCTTTCGCATGCGCCGTCTTCCATGTCTGGACTGTACCCTGCAGTCGAAGATGGTCGCGGAGAACGGGTAAGCCAATCCAGAGAGAAGTATCATGGGTACATCTGAGCTTCTTCGTCTGTTTGATGCTTGTTTGGGAGGGGAAGCTAACCCTGCTGCCACACTCATGCTTTGGTCGAAACATTGATGGGCGCTGGGTCTTTTCCCTCCTGGCGCCCCCCATCCCCTTGCACAGAAAAGCCGAATTTGGGATGTGGGCGGTCCCCTCTTTACGCTGGCACCCATGACAACTGGATGTCCACGTCCATGTCCCATGTCTACAAACCACGGATGGATGGGTTTTCCATGGGTCCCTCTTCCCGGGCAGATCTCCCAGATGCCTTGGCCCTTGCCTCGTGTGCCTGACCAGCAGCAGGACGCGGTGGTTAGTCGCAGCAATTGCGGTGGCAGCGGAGCAGCGGCGGCGGCAACAAGACCAGCAGCAGTGAGGTTGAGGCGAGGTAAGGTAGGTAGGTACCTTGGCACGCCGTATGGAGACATCGCAAAGAGGCGGGACACGGCAAGGAGCGACAAGCAGTCCCGTGTACTCTGCAGGTGAAGAACAGGTGAGATGGGTACTTCAGATGCCTTACCGCAACAAGTCAATTTCTTTTTTCCTCATACCCTACCTATTTTCATCTGGTATTGCAGGTATCAGACTGCCGCTGCAGCAAGTTGTTCGCCCTGCTTCTATTCCTTTTGCGCTTTTTCGCCGCCGCTGCGGACCCTGTGTCCATCACATATAAGATGAGGGACAGGGACGGGGTAAGAGGGAAAGGAGAGTGGGAATGATACATAAAAAGAGGATAAGACCAACGGACAGCAGACGCGTGATTATTATTCAATCTCGTTCACCTGCGTCTGTCCTTGTCGGCTGAAGAAAACGTCGTCTTTTTTTTTTTTCTCTGCCCGCCCACCTACCTACGCACTACTTTACCTACCTAACTACCTTACCTCACCTTGGTTATCGTCCGGGATCGGTACTTGGTCGTCTCTGTACCCTGTCAGAAGCAAATCGACTTTTCTCGCGCATCGTACCTTTCCCCCCTCGCCTTTTCCACATCTCTGGAAATTTCCCATCCGGCCGCGACTTTCCCCAGTCAAGCAACAAAGGCAGGAAAATTCGACGGAGACAAAGAACAGAAGCCCGAGGTTGGTGCACCCAGACCCGCCCCCAGTTTCCTACGCGCTGTCTACCTATCACACTATCGCCGCTTTCCCGCAATGCTGCGAGGTAAGGTACCTCGAGGTGCCTTACACTGCACTTCTCGGTGTACATTTTCTTTACCCTCCGTCGTACTCGTACCTTGAATTTTGCTTGCTTTTCGCTTGACTGCAAGGCGTCAACTTTCAATTCGCGGTCCAGCGCAGACCAGGCAGACAGTCCGTCGTCGTTACGGCCGCGGCCGTGTGTCGCCTCTGAGCCGTCAGTGAGATGAGGTAAAAGGTACCTTCCACACTCATGGACATGGCCGGTCTCCGTACCTCAATCGAACCCCTCCACCTGCCCCTCCGCCACGAGGTCTCGCCGGCTCCAGCTCTCAAGCTTCCATCGCACGGCGGCGACCCGGTAGCGGCAGTCAGTCAGCTACCGCTGGCATCGGGAGGCAAGCAAGCAGCAGCAATAGCCAGCCATGCTTTGCACTGCTTTGCTTTGCAGCAACAACACGCGAATGCAAGTGCAATTGAGAAAGCAAATGCAAATGCGAATGCAAGTGCAAGCAAATGTTGCTGTTGTTTCCTTGCTGCCGGTACTGGGGAGCTGCTACTGCTGCTTTTGCTTTCTGTTGCTGTTGCGGCAAGTGCTTCCGTTCCGCTCCTACCTTGCACCTTTCCATGCTTTCCACACCTCGCCTTCCATGTCCTCCTCTCCGTGTGTCGCTCCCGTCTCCCTCTCTCGCTGCTTCCCGCACCGCACACTCTCGCTCAATCCACCCCGCCTTCCTGACCGCGTCCCGGCCAGTCGCTCCTCCCACTCCCACTCCCACTCCCACTCACACACCAAACCTTACGGTACCTTTGGAGGGGGCCTATTTTTTTGCACTGCCTCACTGCCTCAACGCCCTTTCCCTCCGAGCCATTCACAAAAAAAAATTCCCGCTAGCAGCTTTTCCTTTCTCCTCTTCTCCAAGGTGGCCTTTCACTTTCTCCTTCTCCCACCCCTCTTTCCTTTTTCTGAGGAAAATCCATCAAGCCCGGAATTCAGACCTGACCTCCGTCAACCATCTCCTTCCCGCCAACAACAGCCCACCTTATTCCAACCTCTGTCTCTCTACCACAACACACATCCACATCGTCGTCATCCATCTAGTGGCGACACACCTGCAGGTAAAATTCTCTTTGTCCCAGGGCCTGACACAGCCTGCATCTTGCCCGTTTCCCAAGTCCCCCTTTCCCGCAACATCGCTCCTCTTGGCCTGACTTGTACCGTTCGCTTTGTCGTCCCTAACCAACTCCATCGTTTTGCCCGCGCGCCGTCGTCAAAAGTGACAAAGCTCTGCCGACAACACTGCCACATCTCTTTGGCGACTTGCTGAGCACTGCCAGCTTTCTGGAGCCTGCTTGACTCTTGTTTGGGAAGTCTCTGAGAGAGCGCTTGCTTCTATTGCTTTCCCCTGTATCCTGACCCCCGCCTTGGCGCCACCACGACCACTTCCATTTATGCACCGCAATATCCCTTCCGGACTCATTCTAATCTGCAATCAACAGACCATCAAGCTCACGCAAAGATACAACATCCATCATCATGTCTAAGCTCTTCATCGGGTATGTTATCCCCACGTGGTTGCCCACCAGAACCATTCAAGAACTACCCCTGCTGATCTGGCGTCTCACAGCGGCCTTGCATGGCACACTGAGGAAAACACCCTCAGACAGAAATTCGAGGAGTTCGGTGCTGTCGAAGAAGCTGTAAGTACTAACAGTCCTGTCCGCCGCAAAGAAACTTTCTTGGAGTGGCGCCGCCATGGACCGCGGAACAGACACCTTGTGTCTATCCACACTCGTCCATTAGCAAAGAGGAAAGAAAGAGAGAGAGAGAGAATCTGACACGAGTTTTTTTTGCCATTTTGAAGGTGGTTGTCAAGGACCGCGACACTGGCCGCAGCCGTGGGTTCGGCTTCGTGCGATACACTCAGGAGGGAGATGCTCAGAAGGCCATTGCCGCCATGAACAACGTCGAGTACGCTGCCTTTGCGAATTTGCATTTTTCCATTGCTTGCTTGTCCCGGCGCAATGAGTCTCGGAGGAGCCGACCGTATCTGACAGGGTAAATTTTAGGTTTGACGGACGCACTATCCGTGTTGACAAGGCTTCTGACAACGGCCCCCGCGGCGGTGGCTTCCGCGGCGGTTTCGGCGGTGGTGGTGGCCGTGGCGGTTACGGCGCGCCCCCCATGCCCTACGGCGGCGCTCCCGGCGGATACCCCGTCGGCGTTCCCAACATGTATCAGCAACCGGCGTACGGACGCGGATATCCCCCCCAGCAGCAATACGGCGCTCCCCCTCAGGGTCAGTAATGCTCGTCAAACCCCATCATCCCCGACCTCCGTGCTAAAAGCTCCGTAGACGGCGGTTACGCGGCTCCTCCCGCGGGCTATGGCTACCCGGACCCGTCCCAGCAGTCCCAGGGCGGCCGAGGCTACTAATGCACGTTAGAGTTCGGAGATTCGTTGCCTGCTGGTTGTCGACTTTGCGCAACTCGGGAGCACGCGGCCAAGAGTTGTTGCCGACGATTACCTCCTCCGAGTCTGACAGACGTTCGTGCGCGCGCCCGTTGGTTCGATCGAGCATTGGTGATGATATCCTTCGCTGCAACACAATACCCGGTTCTTCTGTTGCAATGGATCTCTGGAAAACAAAACCCCAACCCGGGTCGGTCAAGGGTTGGTAACGGCCTAGTCTTCTCTCTCAAATGGAATGGTTTTCTGCTTCTTTCTTTCTTCCACACTTTACCTCTGTCTCCAAGAGCGGTCCCAACTTTCGGTCTTTTCGCACGTGGTGATGATCTTTCATTTTGGTGACCTGGGAGGGGTTGGCAATATTGGGGAGGAGGAAAGGTGGTTATCGGAATCGTCGTTGGGATGGCACCCAGCGGATTTGTGTGGTCTAACTCTACCTGGCCTGCATGGTTGTCTATGATCTGCTTTAGAATAAAAAAGGAGGAGGGTTTGAGTCGACATGGTACGAAGGATTTGCGCAACGGGGGTGTAGGGCGGTTGGCTTCCCGAGGGGCGGGGCAAGTATGCAAAAGAAAAGTTTTTGTGCGGTCATCTCCTCAGCATGTCTTCTCGGTCTCCTCCTGCTCCTTGACACTGCTTCCTTGCTTGAACTCGCCGTCGGCGGCATCTACTGGGTCCGGGCCGGTACCCGGGGGCAGAGTTGCGGTGGCCTGAATGGCGCGGACTCTGTTGGAGAGGTCGGTGATGTGGACGTCGCCGCTTTCCGGACTCAGCTCGTCGAGCGCCTTCTCGAGGCCGAGGAGGTAGTCAATGTTGAGACCACTCGGGCCGCGGCTCTTGTAGATATGCTCGGCCAGCTTCTGGGGATCCTGGGGTCCGACGAATTGGTCGTTGTCCGGCGTGCCGATGTAGACGAGGGTGCGGATGGGTTCGGTGCCGTCGGCCGGGTAGAAGGGGGCATAGTGAATGCTGTAGCCGTTGATCTCCCGGATGTCAAGGTAGTCCTTGACTTCGGCGACCTTGTCAGCCTTGATGCGGTAGGCGACGCCCCATACACGATCCGGGGCCGAGTCGTGATGGTCAGTCAGCTTTTCCCAGTAGGAACGCTCGATCAGTGTCGCGACGCGACCCGGGGCTTCCGGTGTACCCCTGTGGTCCTGGCTAGTGACGGTCAGGACGACATCTCACAACACGAAGGGTCATTCCCAAGGAGGGCCTCAGGTAGTGTGGGTGATTACCTTGCCTGTGTGAGAGGTTAGTATAAGTGACTTTGAGCACGGGCAGGGGGAAATCAAGACGTGTAGTGTAAATAAGCATTGGTGTGAGCGGGCAGCCTTGACGCGAGGTGGCCTTGTGTGCCGTGGGGCCGGGTGAGACGGCTGCGTTAGGGGAAAAGAGGAAAGAAAGGGAGGAGACTTACTTGCCAGAAGCGTCGGACATATCCCGTCACCCAACCAGGGATCCTTCTGTCTGTGGGGTTGAACGACACAGATCAGCCGGAGGCTCGGATAGGCGGCTAGAGTAGCCCGGGTGAGGAGGGGGGAGGGAGAGGGAGGCTAACCGAAGTGCGGCGGAGGTTTCCATATCAGACTCCTGGAGAAGCGGGTTTGCGACGTTAGGGACGTGAGGTACAGAGTACGGAGAGCTTGGTCGGCAGGGATATATATGCGGGAGGGCGGGAGGAGCTGAAAGACAAGAACCTCCGAAAGGTCACCGGGGTAGGGTAGGGGGCGGAAGGGGGGAGAGATCTATCTCTGGACTCGACGTACCCGTACCCGTAAAGCCAAAACTCGGAGCCGTTGGTGGAAAGGTCGTTGTCGGCGGCCATCTCGAATGTTGCTGTGTCCCACGGTATCCGTGCAAGTGGTAGATTTGTCTCTGCGAGCGGGACGAGATGGAAAAATTATGAAATGTGACAGCCCCAAGTAAGCGAGGGCTTCCTATCTACCTACCGTTCCTGGAGGGTAGAGAGGCGAAGGAGACGGCACTATGGCCCGGTAATTCCACGGTATCTGAAGTAATTCCAAGCAAATCAGTCCCGTGCCGGTGTCGTTTGCGACGTTCTGCACAACACACACGAACATCTGGACAGGTAAAAGCCACTCGGTAGTCCATCTTGGATCTCTTTTTGGCGCTTTCCTAGCCACCAAACTGTATGAGCCGTTGGTGGCACCCGAAAGCGGCAAGCCGCAACGGCGGAGCGGGCGGAATGGTGCGAGCCCCGCGGGGAAGCCGCGCGTACACACATATACGACACACAAATACACACACAAACACAAACACGCACACACGGGTATCAAAAGAAGAGGCAGAAGAAAAAGGAGAAGAAGAGGGGGAGATTGAGTGTGAAGAATGAGGGCGGGGGGAGGAGGGGGATGAAGCATGTTTAGGACGGAGCGGAGCGGGAAAAGGCAAAAGGCAAAAGGGCAAGGGCTAGACTAAGAGTTCCCGGAACAGCGTGGAAAGCAAGAACGACGAGAAGGAATCAGGGTACGTACGTGGCAGACGGGGCGGAAAGAGGAGGGGGCCTGAAATTAAGGGAAGAAGGAAGGGGGAAAAAAGGTTCGATGTGTTCTAGAAAGTTGGGTAAGGCGAGTTGAGTGGTGCGAATGGAAGCTGCAAAGCTGGGAAAGCATACGCAATCCCGCTTGCCGGCGTCCCGTGCGAGAGGCTCGGCGCTCTGGGGAGGGGCGTGGGCCGGGGCCATGGTGGGGCGGGTTGGGGTGGAATGGAAGGTGGAAGGGAAGCAAAAGAAGGAATGGATGGATCACTTGCTGTTAGGGTGGTACGGACGATGATGCTCTGGGGCCACTGGTTGGTGGCCACGCTTACACGATGGCCCGTCGAGGTTTTTTTTTTTTTTTTTTTTTTTTTTTTTTTTTTTCCTCTTCATGCTGCGGCGTTGACCAATGCATAGTCACGGTGCTCGCTGGGTCAAACTACACTTGTCACGATGCGAAGACGTCGGCACAAGTGGTCTGTCCCCATCCAAGTTGAGTTTTGGACGAGATTGAGACACGGCAACATTCAACTGGACAGATCGTCTCAGGTGTTGACGATTGCCTGACTAAATTAAGCTTAAACGGGGATACGACGACCACCTCAAATGTCGTTGCCACGTCCTCCGTCCGGCCCAGGGAACCAATGGCCGCTGCATGTTTTCTTATGTGCGTGTGTGAAGTGATTGTATGTGAGGGAGTTGTTGGAAACCGAATGTGTCTGCATTACGTATCGCTCTAACACAGGTTACCCCGTATCGTCCCTCATCGGCGTCTGACGATGGGTGATGAGTGGTAAGTGGTGATGGCTATGATGGCGGTGGTGGTGCTGGTGGAGGAGGGAGGACCTGATGAGGAAAGACACTGGAGGAGGGAGGCCGGGGGGAAAAAAAAAAAAAAAAAAAAAAAAGGAAGCTCCGCCGGACCGCTGGGCTCCAGGCTGAAATAAAGTGCTCGGGACCCCTTTCCACCTCGCGATCTGTATCTCCATCGTATCAATACCCGGTCCCGAGACGGAAAGAGTCCAGAGACGCTGGAGCTGGAGTTCCGTCCCCCTACCCAGGGGTCGCCGTGTCCTGTTTGTGGATAAGGCACATTTCTTGAGGCCCGTAACGCGAAGTCAATGGGGATTCCCGCGTCCAGATACGAATTTCATTGCCGCGTATAACGACGGACGGCCACAACGCAATGGGCCGGACCGGGACACTGGCGGCCGAATACGCAATCGCGAGTAATCCGCAGCGCAGCGCAAGGCAAGGGATCGGCATGGCATGGCATGGCATCCGGTCGCCGCATCGCATCCTCTAAGCCGGACTCGCCGTCGCAGCAGGTATCCTCCCTGTTTGCCACTTGTTACGGGCCTGCCCTATGACAATCCACGGTTGTTCGGCGTCGCGTTCCATCGCCTGGAGAGCATCCGCAACCCACCGCAATTCAGTCCACAGCGGGACGGCGTGGCGGGGTTGCGAAAGCGAAAGGCCATTGACGGCACAGAAATGCCCCCATCCCGTCGGCATGACCCTTCCACTTCCCGTCCTGGTGATCTTCCAGAAGACAGAAAGAACAAAGCCTGCAATTAAGTTACGCTTGAGTGTGAGGTGAGGTGGGCTTGGGGCCAGGCACCAGCAATCGGAAAGACGTGTCCGTGTCTGTGTGTGACATGATGATTTCGCTGCAGAAGCAAGAATTCAGGATCCAAGCCAACCCAAGGCCGCGTGGGATGGAATTAATGTCCTCTTTTCTGTCCTGATCTACCCTACGTCTGCCTTGGCTGGAGCATTTTCTGTTTTTAGTTGTTGCCCCCTCCCAGAAACAATTTCGCAGAACCCACTCGACGGGCAGACTGCAAACCGTGATCCATCGCCTGTTCATCCCGTCTGATTTGCGTCAACCGTCCGTGTCGTGTCGTGTCTTGTGGCAGTCGTGCCGTGTCGTTCCCGTCGCAAAGCCCATCCGCAGCGCAGCGCAGCACAGCGCAGCTACAGCCGAGCCGAGCAAGCAAATCGCCGTCGCACACCGAGCACCACCATGCACCATGTCCAGTCCCCTTCGTGGTATTATTCATCGTCTCGACACAGACGACCGAATCATACACCAAAGCTTCCTCAGCACTGATTGCCCTGCATCCCAGTCCACCGCCCGTGCCCGTGCCATCCCCAACCTGCGCGCGGGCGCCGCTGCTCCCCAAATTGCCCGGTCCCCGGCGTAGGTCCCCTGCTGGAGGACAGATAAGCCCTACGGCTTCGTGTTCCCTTGCTCTATTCGTCGTACATTCCCTCGAGGGTCTGCCAGTCCGTACATACTGCCTGGGAGATAACAGAAGAGGGACAGAGAGAGAAAGCCTAATAACGCGACCATGCGCGACCGAAATTACAGCAGCACGTAGTCTCTAAACAAGGCCTCAGCCCAAGCCTCACTCTTTCATATTACATGGTGCGGCTGAAACCAATCTGACGATTGCGCAAAGCTCAGGGCCCGATTGGCACGTTCACAGCCTCTCCATGCCTGCAGCGCAGCCTAACGAAGCAGCCCTACCTGTCCTTTCCTGCCCTGTCCCGTCCTACCTAGGTAGGCGTGCCGACTGCCGCCTGACGTTGAGACCCCTACCCCAAGTTCCATTTGTTGGACCCAAGTCACCTACAGAACCTGAGGTACATAGTTGCTGCGGCTCCTCCCCTCCTTGCTCTTGGCCCTTCCTTTGGGTTGGTTGTCCACCGCAAACCAATAGACGCCCCCCACCTCTGCAACTTCATATAATCCCAGGAGCCGACGAACTCGACTCGACTCCCAAAGGACCGTTTCCTTTGCTCTCTCTCCCGGCCCTCCATCGCCAGTTCACCCATCTTCACAGTCGCAATGGCCTACAACAGACCCTACAACCCCGACGAACTCCCCAGGTGCGTAACTAGAGCCATCAACGACTCGCAACAGCCCCTCATCGCAATCTATTTTACCCCGCCATGCTAACACCCTACCAGGTTCGCAGAGCCCGAGCAGGTACGTTCGACTCGTCGTCCTTTCCACGCAATCTGGCCTTTCCTTTGCGATTCACCATCGCGAATGCCCTCACCATCGTCAGCTCATGGATCGCTCAACCGGAGAAAGACTGACTGTCCCGTTCCAGAAGGGCGGCGCTGCCCCAGCCCCGGCCCCGGCCCAAAGACCTTCTCCTCAACCGCGCTACGAGAGCAAGCCGCCTCCGCCCGTCCCCCACGATAGCTACCAGCGCCGTCCCGTCGACCACCGCGACCCTCGCGACGACCGTCGTCCTAGCCCGAGCCCCAACATCTACGGCGCCACCTCTCCTCCTCCCACCGGCGGCCCGCGCCCGACTCAGATGCACAATCGCCCTCCTCCCAGCTCAAGACCGCCCCCGTCTCCCGCGCCCGCCGAAATGGCTGACGGTGCCGACCCGACCCTGCTGCCTCTGTTTCGCGCTGTCGATAAGGATGGTACGCGACTTCGTGAGAGACCTCGAGAATTCAAAATCTAACAAGACGCAGGTACTGGCCAGCTTTCCGAACGCGAGCTCTCCACCGCCCTCGTCAATGGTGACTGGACAGCATTCGACCCCCAGACTGTGCGCATGATGATCCGCATGTTCGACTCCGACCGCAGCGGCACCATTGGCTTCGCCGAGTTCTGCGGACTGTGGTCCTTCCTCGCCTCCTGGCGCACTCTCTTCGACCGCTTCGACGCCGACCGCTCGGGCAACATCTCGCTCCAGGAGTTCAGCAACGCCCTCGTCGCCTTCCGATACCGCCTGAGCCCCGGCTTTGTCGAGCTTCTCTTCCGCACCTACGATAAGCGCAACGAAAACTCCATGTCTTTCGACCTCTTCGTTCAGGCCTGCATCTCTCTCAAGCGCATGACGGACGTGTTCAAGAAGTACGACGACGACCGCGACGGCTACATCACCCTCAGCTTTGAGGACTTTTTGACGGAGATTCTGAAGCAGCTCAAGTAAGCGGGTCTGGTGTGGTCCTGAGAGGGGAAGATAGGATTCGTTTTCCCCACCAGCTTTCTTTGTTTTTCATTTTCACGTCAGCGTGTTTGGCTGGGACCTAGTTTCGTGCATGCACTGGGAGGCAGGATCTGCATAGCTCACGGGCGGCTGTGTGTTGAGAAGGATTGAGGAGAGGATGGATATGTGGAAGCGTGCATCTCGAAGAAGAGAGATGATTTCTCGTTGCATGAGAAAACTAGATACCCTGGCTGGGTGAGTGCAGGTAATGGAGGGAGGGTGGGTTCCATGTGGTGACGACCACCCGTAACCGGCGGTCTCATAGTATTCAAATCGCATTTTAAGGGAGCATCAAACGCTGGCATTCGAGACATTTTATATGAAGCCGGTATGATTGTGAACGGTAGCTTTGTAGTTGGAAACTCACATTTAGCTAATTCATACTTTGCTTACTTTGAAACTCGTCGTTTTCGAGGTCATACAAAGACGCAGACGATCAGATATACCACCACTTACGGGTCTCAGTAGGCGCCCTTCTAAGTCGTATGTCTTAAGACGACATACTACCGTTCGAACCACTTTGTCATGGATACTTGCCCTGTTCACGGGGTTTCTAGGTCCAGACCTGGCAGACTGGCGGCCTCTAGAAACTCAGAGATAAATACAACCAGCAAACAGGGTTGACACAATCTACGTGTAGAGAAATGGGTTACATCACAAGCTGACGGTCCTTGCAACCACGCCTACGAAGACTGCTTGTTACTCAACGAGATTATCCAAAGCACCTATGTTTCCGAAAAACCGCATCGGAGAGGAGAAAGAGACAGGGTCTAACCCGCGTCAACTGATTGCAAGGGTCCGCGGTCATTTCTTTCCGACCTTGAGGCGAGTTGGCCGTTAAAGCACTTGACAAGTAAGGACTTTGACTTTAATATTTGTCTACTCCGGGAACACCTGCCATCCATTGACAAGCAGTCACTATATGGATAGCTTCTTTATCATGATCAGGTGAAAAGGACACGCTTTTGACATGGGCAGTGAATTTTCCCTGGGTTCTGCCAGGAACACGACAGAACAAAAGAAGGATCCGGACGAACATTGGTGATTAGGGAGGAGCAGATGCTTCCCCCCCGTCTTAATAGAGCATCTGGCTGATCTGTCAACAGACTGTGCCTTCGAATACTGCTTTGCTTCGAGTCTCCGAAGCCGGGATATGTTTTCAAGGATATCACGTGGTTTGACGCTACAATCGTGTGCCCTGATAATTGTGATTGATTATGCTTGTATATTAAGAGCTCATAAGCTACGCGAGGAGAAGGTCAAGTCTTGTACCATCCTCGTTTTCAAGTTGTTAATCCTTCCTTCTGTGGTATCAACCCCTTCCCCAAGACACGCCGCCATCCTGGGCAGGCAATGCCATTCCCGTAACGAAAATAAAGTAAGAAACTCAATGCTCCCAGTGCCCAGTCACCCGTCTTCCGTGGTCCGTGTTCCGTGTCGCATTTTCGTGTGGTTCCGAAGTCTCCGTAGGGGGGTATATTCTGCCCTCGGTGCCCTTTGAACGTGCTCCATCTGTACAGGAGGGTATCCAAAATTCTGATGAAAAAGACAAGCACGCAAAACCAAATTACCACTGGGTATCATCGCATAGTCCCCGTTCATACACGCGTGACAATCGGCGACAGATTTCGTCCTCGCGCCCGACCTTGCAGTGTCTTCTCCGCCACGGGGAGTTTGCGAGGCGGAAATACTCGAGCGCGCGGCTCAACGTTCCAGACACCCTCTCGGGTCATCGCAACTTCCTCGCCAACACCAAGAACAAGCACTTCAGTACTCTTACCCCCACCGCCGCTACCCTCATTGCCTGACCCCTCCCGATCGAACCTCTTGTCGCGGTGGCTGGTGTTCGAAAAGGGGCTGACAACGTCGGCGATCTCCTTCCGGGCGTACTTTCTCGTCTTCAGCATCCTCGTGACCAAGCCCCTGACGTCTTTGTCGCCGTCGTGCGTGCTAACCCAGGCCTTTGCGCCTAGGGCTGATGCCGTCTCCTGTCCGGCCGGCATGCCCGCGGAGATGTTACCGCCGAGCCACCACGGATTCGAAACAGTGTCGAAGCAGTGCAGGAGAGCAGTGAGAGGCAGAGCCGCCTCGGCGGCCAGGTGGGAGGCGGCGTACTGGTGTAGGCAGCGGTATGAGATGCCGTGGGGAGAGAAGATAACTGATACTGCTCGGTCTCGGGCGTCCGTTGGCGGCGGGGTCGACGTAGCGGAGTTGATGGAGTGGAGGGATTGGGTGCTGCTGGGAGTCTCCGGGGGAGTCGGCAGGCTGATGTATGCCGGCTCAGCTTTGGAGCGGGCTGCCCCGGCAATGGGAGACTGAGAGAGTTGTGTGCCTTGTGGCTGAGATACGGGGGTCCTCGGTGGTGTAAGAAGATGTGTGAACCTTGGCCATGTTGGAGGTGGTCGGTACGTGATGCCGATGGCGGCATGAAGGCCCTTGAAATCCCTCCGTTGAGGAATGAACGCGACTGATACCTCGCCGGACTCCCCACCTGGTGTGAATGGCGGCACCTTGACGCGGATGACGGCCTGCTTCCCCGTGGTTTGAGGATCCTCCCACCGTGGAATCGTATGGACCTTGTTCTTGTCAAAGTACTTCCAGCTCCGAATCACCTTGGCCGCGGCCGGTTCCGCCAGGATTAGGGTTCTCGTCCCGCTGGGTGGTAGTTGCCGAAGCGTGGCCTCGTTGCAATGGTCGCTTTTGTGTTGGCTGATAATGACGAGATCGGGTTCCGGGAGATGTTCCAGCGAGCACACGCATGGAGACTCCTTGTGAGTTGTTGTTGAAAGAATAGAGTGAAAGATGGTGGACGGTCCTGTGATCCATGGATCCATTAATATCCTGAACGGCCGGGGAGAAATGCCCGGTGTCGACTCGGGCACGATGGGTTCGAAGGTGAGAAGAAATGAGGCGTCAGCATTCAGCTGCTTGACTGTTAACGCCATGTTGTATATAGATTAATGAGTGTAAGAAACGACGGCAGGAGATATGCGTAAGGGATCCGTAGAAGGCTGCAGAGCAACCGTTTGCTCATGAAAAGAGCCACAGGAGCAGAGAAATGCCGACAAGGCACTTAGATATGTGCCATGATGACGGGATGTAATCTGGGCAAGGAGCGCGTCGGGACGCAACTTTTGGGATGTCTTGCCGTGAATGATCGGACGTGGGGAAACATTGCAGGGAAACGTGAGGCGAGTTTAGGAAACTTTTCCTTGGCCACATTAGAAACGGCAACCCTGTAACGCCAATTTACGGTGGAAGTTGGCGAACTGACGACGAGGTCAGAGCATTGTGGTTGGACTTCACCAGATCATCAGCGCCGCGGCAAGTAAACGCGAGGTGCTCAGACTTCCGAGAGTCCGCCGGTTGGAGAATATGACGACGGATCAGTGAAATCGACCGGCAAAATATGCACAAGGAGGGTGCCAAGTTCGGTATTGGTCGGAGGCTGAAACCTTGGTGGCTGAGCCTCAACTGCGCAATACGTCCAGTCCTTTTGGGTCTGGAAACATGGAGTGCCGTCCCTTGCAGATTCTGAAAAGACAATCTGATGACTCCGGACCAGTCAGGCGGGGCTCGCCCTGGTTGCTTTTACCTTCTGCATCTTATGCTGAGCGGGATTGCCGTGCTCTGAATGCCATAGAAGAAGACGACCTTTCCTTCGTGATCTTGGCGGCGCAGGTCCATCTCGGACGTCTGTGCGGCGTACCTCGAGGGGGTTGATCAACGAGGAGCTGTGACAAGTTTGTTTGGAATCCTGCGGATGCGTCGCCTTGATTGGAGAAGGAGCTTCGGATACCGCTGGCCACATAAGATCCGAGGTCGCCCTCCCATCGATTCGACTTGCCAGACATCAGGATGGCAGCTGTTCTCCAGTAAGGCCCATGAAGTCAAACTGAAGGCTGACGACACAGCTCTTCGGAGTGATGCTGTCGTTGTGCACCTCATGCAAGATTGACAGCCGGCTGCAGCGGCTCAAGACGGTTCCGGAGTTCCCCCCTGACGCTGGAAGGGATGACCCATTGTAGCATATATCCAGCGAACCATCTGAACTGAAGGCAAAGACTGTCTCTGACAGCGGATGGAAAAGACTGCCCACTCCTTCGAGAAGCCAAATCAGTAAAAACAAGTGGTTTTTGCTGCGTGTCTGCGGCAAAGAAGGTTGGTGATGCTGAGGCTGAGGAAATCTCCGAAAGCAGAGCTTGATCCGCTTTCGTGCAATTGAATCTTAATTCACTAGGTCAAGAGATTGTTTGCTGACAGCGAGTGATCGACTGTCGTCAACATGACGGAGCACTGGTGCTTCAGTGAGAACAGACTAAGGTAGAGCCACTGGGATTCATTCCAGTCAAGTCGAGGATATCCTGTCATGCCTCAACTTGCACAGAGATAGGGGGGAAAGGGGCTCAGGAGGCTACGCGTACGTGCAAGCCGTCAGCGCACCGGCGCTGTGAGTTGCGCGGAGATAGAGGGCCGTGATCGCTAATGGCTTGAAGGTGGACGCTCCGACTTGGGATCTCAGCGCTGATATCCCTGGAGCTTCGCCGAGTGGACGGTGACGGGATGGGGATGGAGATGGAGAGGCTCTGACAACAGTGGCAGTGGCAGTCGGAGTCACCGACGAGACAGAACTGGTTGGCCGCCATGTCTCGGAAGGCAGGGAGCCAGGAGCGAGTTCAAGCGGCCTTCGGGCGTTTGCCGCTTCGATAGGCCCAGTCGTACGAAAGTACTGGGTGTATTCAGAAAACGACGCGTGCATGTGACAGAGCTTTGGGTACGGAGCGTCCCCCGGCCTCAGCTTATCCTGCGTTGCTCAGTGTGTTTTTTCTCGTGTGCTCTTGGTAATAAAGCAGATGGATGGAGGAACGGCACTGCAGAGAGGCACAGACCTGCGGCCGGTTGCTGAGTGGGCTGCCGCCGAGTGTGCCGATGTCAAGAAAGAA